CAGGCCACTAATAGGAATTAGGAAGTCCAAAGAATCCTTTTCCCAGAACAAACTTGTACATTAGTTTTCTAACATAAAAGTTCTGCATGTGCCTTTATTTTTTGCTTTTTCAGTGCATCAGAATGACTCCTCTGTGCTCTCTCTGCTCCTAAAGCTCAGAATTTTATTTTCAAGACTAATTTTGGATGGATTTTCTTGCTGTGGGTCTCATGTTTATTGGTTACTACGGGTTCTTCAAAGACTATGTTTCTATTAGGTTAATTAGCAGGCACTACTCCCTCTGCACCAAGGCTCTTAGTTTACGATACTGAAATAGGTCTTAGTTTACAATGCTGAAGTAGACACAGACAGCAGCACTAGTGGGTAGATCAGGTGAATTATCTGCGGTCATTCACTTATGAAACATGACTTCTCTGGAGTTGGATCATAGCTAGGCAGAGTATAAACATCTAGAATGTTAAGGACCACTCATCTGCTGTTCAAGGAACATGTGGCTCAAGGAACAAAAATAACATAATATCCAAAATTACATGATCTGAACTGCCTCGACTGAAAACTCTGTTCCACCCCAAGTCGTAATCTCTCTGAGCCTACTTACTCACCTACAAGTGATAGTGACAAAGTACAACTTCAAAACATGCTTTTCAAGAAGAAATTCAACTTTATTTGTAAATGTGTGTTTTGCTGGGGTATAGTGGCTCACACCTGTAATCCCAGCACTTGGGGGAGGCCAAGGCAGGAGGATCACTTGAGTCCTGGAGTTCAAGTCTGGGCAACATGACAAGACAGCATTTCTACAAAAAATTTTAAAAATTAGCCCAGTGTGGTGCTGTGCGCCTGTAGTCCCAGCTACTTGGGAGGCTGAGAGGGGAGGATCCCTTGGGATGTCTGGGATGTCAAGGTTGAAGTGACCCAAGGTCTCACCACTGCACTCCAGCCTGGGTGACAGAGTGAAACCTTGTCTCAAAATAAATCCATAAATAAGGTGTTTTTTGTGTGTACAACAAGCAATTACTCTGTGCTTTTTTGTAACACAGCTCAAACTATTTGAAGTCAGGAACTTAATGCCACCAGTCAGATAGATTTTCTTTTTATCTTGTTCTTTTGGTATCACAACAGTGCAGTGTGCTTCGGGTCCCGATTCTTGCCTGTTCTTTACCATTACTCACTCCAGCCACACACAAAGGAGAGGAGGACATCTTCAGCCTGTGCATACTTTGCAGGGGATGACCAGCCAGAAAAAAAAAAGTAGCATGGGGTGACAAATACTTATTTTGCATCTTGGCTTTTTGACTGCCTGGGACCTGTTTGCATGATGTTCCTCCTGCTTCTTGATGAAAGGAAGAGTTGGTCTGCCACTGAAATGATAAAATGAGAGAACATGTTCCTTCTTGGGTGATATGGCCGGTCAGTGACCCAGACTGGCTAGACAGCTATTTGGGAAGCCTGCGAGTGGAAGTCCAGAGGAAAGGATATGAGAGGGCAGCGGTGGTTCTGTGGGATAGCAGCTGCCATCATGATCACACGGCTCCTAACAGACAAGACATGTGCTCAATGTATCTGCCACCTTCCACGCTATTTTGAGAGTCCCCTGGTATGCTAATACATGAAGTGCTTTGTTTCCTGATCCATTTTTATAAAATTATTTTTGCTTTATAATAAATATTTTAAATAATGTTTATTGAGATATAATTCACATGGAGTAAAATTTACTTTTAAAACCATACAATTGAGTCTTTTTTTGCATATTCACAAAATTGCATAACCATCACTACTATCTAATTTCAGAATATTTTGGTCACCCTCCCAAACATCTCATATTCATCAGCAGTTACTGTCCCTCTTTTTCATATTGTTTTATCCTTTTTTCATTCTTCTCCTCAGACTGGAGTATCTCAATTTATCTATCTTCAAGTTCACTGATTTTTCTTTTCTTTTCTGGCTCACATCTGCCTTTGAGCTCAAGTGAATTGTTCCTTTCACTTATTGTACTTTTCAAATCTAGAATTTCTATTTGTTTCTTTTTTTATAATCTCTACTTCTTTATTGATAATTTTAAGGCACTCTACTCACACTTTTCATTAGTTGTTCAGGCGTGTTTTCCTTTTGTTCTTTACACATCTACAGGCTGGGCACAGTGACTCACTTGTAATCCCACCACTTTGGGAGGCCACAGTGGGAGGCTCACTAGAGCTCAGGAGTTCGAGACCAGCCTGGGCAGCATAGTGAGACCCATCTCTACAAAAAAAAATTTTTTTTAATTATCTGGGTGTTGTGGTGCACACATATGGTCCTAGCTACTCAGAAGGCTGAAGTAAGAGGATCACTTGAGCCCAGGAAGTCAAGGCTGCATTGAGCCATGATAGTACCATTGTGCTTCAACCTGGGTAACAGAACAAGAGGCTGTCTCAAAAATAGAACAAAATATAATAAAAGAAACATATCTACCATAGATGATTTAAAGTCTTTGTTTAGGCTGGGTGCAGTGGCTCACACATGTAATCCCAGCACTTTGGAAGGCCAAGGTGGGCGGATCCCTTGAGGTCAGGAGTTTGAGACCAGTCTGGCCAATATGGTGAAACCCCATCTCTACTAAAAATACAAAAGTTAGCCTGACATGGTGGCACACACCTGTAGTCCCAGCTCGTGGGGGGCTGAGGCAAGAGAATTGCTTGAATCCAGGAGGCAGACATTGCAGTGAGCCAAGGTCACACCTTTGCACTCCAGCCTGGGTGTCACAGCAAGACTCTGTCTCAAAAAAAATAAAATAAAATAAAATAAAATAAATAGGTAAATAACAAAGTATTTAGTAAATTCAATATCTTGACTTCCTTGGGGACAGTTTTTATTGACTGCATTTTTTTCTATGTATATGCCATACTTTCTCATTTCTTTGCATTTGCCATAGTTTTGTAAAAACTGGACATTTCAAACAATATAATGTGGCAACTCTTGAAATGAGACCCCTCCCCATGTCCAGGATTGTTTTTGTTGTGTTGTTTTGTTTAGTGATTTGCCTAAACTAGTTCTATAAAGTTTCTTGTATTAGTTCGCTCTCATACTGCTATAAAGAACTACCTGAGACTGGATGATTTATGAAGAAAAGAGTTGTTTACTTATAACTTGTGTACTTATTATACACAAGTTGTATATTTATTATAAAGAAAAGAGAAAATTGACTCACAGTTCCACAGGCTATATAGGAAGCACGGCTGGGAAGCCTCAGGAAATTTACAATCATGACAAAAGGCGAAGAGGAAGCAAGCACACTTTACTATTGTGGAGCAGGAGAGAAAAAGAGAAGGGGGAAGTGTCACACAGTTTTAAACAACCAGATCTTGAAAGAACTCCATCATGAGAACAGCAAGGGGTAAGTCCATTCCCAAGATTCAATCACCTCCCCACAGGCCACTCCTGGAAAACACGGGTGTTACAATTTAACATGAGATCTGGGTGGCGACACAGAGCCAAACTGTACCATTTGTATTCTTTGTCATTTGTGGTCACTGAAGTTTCTGCTCAATTAGCTTAGTTGCAATCTCATGATTGAACAAAGATTTTCTTAAATAGCTTGAACCAATGTCTCCTGAATAGCCTTTGTTGAGAGGCTCTGCATGCATGCTATAGTATGTCTTCCATCCTAACAGGCATTGCATGGCTATGTCTTAGCCTAAGCTTCTCACTTGTTCAGAGCCTCAAGGTAAGCCAGAGTCGAGAGATTAGGGGCATCTCAAATTTTTCCTCAGCATGCACACGGTCTTCTACATGCATATGGCTTTTTCAATTCCCAGGAACATGTTTAAGCTTTGTAAAGCCCCTTGCATACTTCTCTTTCTACAGGTTTTTGACCCACATATCAATACTGCCTTAGGCTTATGCAATGTTAAATAATGCCACTGATTGTTTTTGACAGTCGGACAAGTCAAATATTGACAGTCATCTTGAGATGAAGCTTTGGTATGCTCCAATCCTGTTTTGTTCCCTCCAATAGATGCTCAGTGCTCATTTTCACGGCTACTGTGATTATGATGGCTATCAGGTTTAAATGCTCTCCTGTAGTTTAGAAATGGACACAGGAATAGGGCAAGTTAAAAATGCCACATAGCTCTCTGTTCTTACTGAGATTCAGGCAGTTTTCTTGAATAGGCACTCCTTGGGTTGTTGCAAGTTTTGGTCAAGTTTCAGAGTTCTGAAAATATTGATTTTGACAATTTTTTGGCCAGTATTCTTGTTGCTTTTATAGATAAGTGAGTTTCTGGAAGTCCTTGCTCTGGTGTTCTGGAAGTCACCAAAACAATCATTTTCTAATGTTTGCAAATAAGAATCCTGCCTGGGACATCATAGATTGATATGAACATTTAAATGATTGACTTAGCCCAATCTGGAAACACCTATTTTCAGAGAGGTATAATCTCCCCATCTCCTCAACATAAAGCAAGAACTTTATATAAATTTAAACCCATAGATAGAGAGTCAGGTATCTTCTCAAAAAAATCTGTTTTTGTTTTTATGAGTAAGAACTCTATACAATTTACTACATATTCTTGTAATTAGCACGATATAGAAAACAGACATTGTTGTCTGGTATTAAATCAACTCCTTACTAAGAAACTGCTAGTAACCTTTAAACATTGTTTTAACTTTCACAGAACTTGTCACAACAAATAACAATATTAGATGAAACACATGATTTTGCTGTATTTGAAATTCAAAAGTGGTTTACTATCAGCAATTTTATACAATTCAACATAATATAAATACTTGAACATATAAACTGCATGTTCATCTACTAGATTTTACACAATTATTTACTGTTTTCCTCACTATGTTCAAGGAGCTTTATTTTCTGACAAAGAGTTATCAGTACATAAAAATTGAGGAAGTTACAGTGTATGAGAGCTGGAAGAGGGAAAATGGGATGAAAATTGGAAAAATTCTATATGCCAATTAGCAAAGTGTAGTTTATTTTTACACAAAAGTGAATTTGTTTATTGCTTTATTTGGCGGGCATTATATGTTTGTAAACATGATAATGACAGAGTTCTTTTTATGTTTTAGGAAATAAAAGGAGGCAGGGAAAAGACCAGTTATGAGAAAACTCTTTTAAGAAAAAATTGAAGTGAACAAAGAACCTAGACCCAGAGACAGAGAATAAGGAAAACTAGAACATGGGCTTTGAAACAGGGTGTTGGCAACACTATCAGAAGACACAGGACAAGTAGGACTTCACTGAAAGGAGTTTATTACATTGATAAATGAAGTTTTTGGTACCTGGGTTGAAAGTAAATTCAGTGCGTTGATAGGGGAAGAATCCTGAGAGTGGACCGTAATCAGATGATTCGTGGGTATGTGTGGAAGCCAGGAGTCTTCTGGGTCCAGTCCTAGTAAAAACCAAAACAGATAATAGTGGATTTAATGAACTCATGGATTCTTCTTTTTCTAGACTATTACGATTGTAAAGTTCTGTCCTAAAACAATTGGTTAAATTTTTTATGCTTATTTGTGGAATTATATCAATTCTTCACTTCTTTCATTTGAATATAGATCACTCTAATAATTTTGTAAAAACTATGATACCTGTTATAGACTGAGTACCTGTGTGCTCCGATCCCATAATTCACATATTGAAACCTAATCTGTAATGTGAAAATATTTGGAAGCAGGCCTTTTAGGAAGTGATTAGGTCATGAGGATGAAGCCCTTCTGAATGGGATTAGTGCCCTTATGAAAGAGGCCCTGAAGAGCTGCCTCGTTTCTTCTGCCTTGTGAGGATACAGTGAAAAGCCACCATCTGTGAGCAAGGAAGCAAACCCTCACCAGACACCAAATCTGCCGGCACGTTGATCTGGGACTGCCAGACTCCAGAAATGTGAGAAACAAATCCATATTGTTTATTATCCACCCAGCCTGTGGGATTCTGTTACAGCCACGTGAAGACTAAGACAGAACCTCACTGCCCCCAAATGCAGGTTATTAGATATTCATAGACCTCAGGTTAAAAATTGATGGATTAAAATAATTGAAAAATGTGGTAATTAATTGATAGCCATTGTTGTTATGTGAGATCCATTCTTGAATCTTCTCTTCTTTTCTTCACAGTGGGATAGAGTGCTATAAGAAAATAGCTTTCAAATTTCACTCAGTCGAAAGTCTATCTTGGAATTTTACTAATCTTTCCATATTATCTTCATATCTTTCCAATATATTTCTGTTGTCTATTTTGTTTGTATGTGTCACTTTAATCTTTGAATTGTTAATTGCAATGCTCATTTATTTAATGATTAATTAATATAATTAATTATAATTTATAATACAAAAAATTATACAATAAAGAAGTAAATAATAATTTATTTACGCCAGGCGCGGTGGCTCAAGCCTGTAATCCCAGCACTTTGGGAGGCTGAGGTGGGCGGATCACAAGGTCAGGAGATCGAGACCACAGTGAAACCCCGTCTCTACTAAAAAAATACAAAAAAAAAAATTAGCCGGGCGCGGTGGCGGGCGCCTGTAGTCCTAGCTACTCAGGAGGCTGAGGCAGGAGAATGGCGTGAACCCAGGAGGCGGAGCTTGCAGTGAGCCGAGATTGCGCCACTGCACTCCAGCCTGGGCAACAGCGTGAGACTCCGTCTCAAAAAAAAAAAAAAAAAAAAATTTATTTACTTCTTCTCTTTGCCATATTTCTCATTAAAATCTCCACAACTTTCACATAAATCTCTGCTTTCATTAAAATCTCCACAACTTTCACATAAATCCCTGCTTAAGGCATTTTTTATTTCAAATTTTTTATTACCAACTCAGATGAAAGTTTATTACGTAGCTTATTTTAAAAGTATCTCTGTTTCACTCTTGTTCCTTCAAAGATCTCCACACTAGCTATCATTTAATTCACTGTCATTTATATATACATATGTGTATATAATTATCTATTTTATATATTTATATAATTGTCAATTATATATTTATAATTAAATATATAATTGTCTAATGTTTAATCCAACATAAATGACCTTTTTGCTTATTATAGACATGTCTCAGGTTAGAAGGTGTTCATACATAGTCCATCAGATTTAGAATGAACCTGTGTGGACATCCAATGTACTGTCAACAACTCATATATAAAGCCAACTCTATAATAAGCAACATTCAATAAGATTAATGCTTAAGAGCTATGAAGTTGATGCAAATTGAAGCAAGATTAAGGCAACTTTTGTAGCCACTAAATGAAGGAACATAACGTTTTTGAAATTGTAGTACAATTGGTACACTTAGGAACTGCTGGAAGCATTATAGCAGCACAAACCTTCTGAAAAGTATTAAGAGCTTACATTTGTGGTTAACTCCTTATATCTGTGGTAAATCCACATACCATGTAACATAGGTTACACGTTGATTAATACTTTTCAACAAAGTAATCTTCTCTGTAATTAACTTATCCTAGGCAAACAGTCGCATATCTAAAGATTATTCACTGTAGTGTCATTTATATTAGCAGAAAACATGGTTTAGTTATATCAGCATTTGGAAGTTTTATAAATTAAATAGAGAAGTAGAATATTATACAAACATTACAATAATTATAGCAACCCATTAATTATTTACAATATTAAATTAGTTGAAAATTAATAAAAAAATTATACAATAAAGAAGTAAATAATAATTTATTTACTTCTTCTCCTTGCCATATTTCTCATTAAAATCTCCACAACTTTCACATAAATCCCTGTTTATGGTATTTTTTATTTCAAATTTTTTATTACCAACTCAGATGAACGTTTCTAATGTAGCTTATTTTAAAAGTATCTCTGTTGTCACTCTTGTTCCTTCAAAGATCTCCACACTAGCTATCATTTAATAAATGATATTTAATAAATGATCATTTAATAAGTGATAGTAAATGTTACTGGAAAGCTAAATTTTAAACACTTAAAACTTTAATGGAAAAAATACACTATAATCTTTTACTTTAAATCGGTATTGAATAATATATCTCACAGATTTACAACAGCAAAACCTCCACAACAATTTCTTCTTTAACTACTACTAGCTCTATAGAGTTTTCATGGACTTACGTATCTTCCTCTAACCAGAAGGAATGAATTTGCTATTCTCATGACTGAGTCATAGTATGCTGATGGAGAATCAGGCTGTCAATCATTCTGCCTAAGGACAAGTACTCTGAACAAGTCCTGGCTGAGATGCCACAGAGCCTCTGTGTAAATTTCTCTAAAAACATAGGGCATAAATATGAGTCCTCCCTTGTGTTTTCCTGTTTTGGACCATTGTACAGACCAATGTGGCTCTCCACTCCTGCTAGCACGGCCTCACCCTCGGTGTGGAGGCTGGTGCACCACGTGTTCCATTCACTATACCCACTGCACCTGCTGTGGCCCTGGCTGCATCCAGGAGCTCTGGGTCAGGAATGGTTATGACCTCAGGCACCTTCATGGATTAGAGAAACCATTCCCCAAAATCCCTCCACAGGGTCCACTCTGACACTTTATCTCCTGGACCAAAGCGTGTGTGTTTGGTTGTGGAGGAGAGTGCTGGGATTAAGGGCCAGGCTGCTCAGAGCCAGCTCTCTGTGGGGCACTAGGAGTTCTATGAAATGGGAAAGGTTTCCTTATCTCTCTGTACCTTAGTTTCTCCCTTTGCAATATGGAAATGATAATAGCACCTACCTCCATGGCATAGTTTTGATTAGGATTTAACAAGTTAACATCTATAAAGCACTTAGAACTCTGCTCAGTGTCATGCAAGTGTTTATGGAAGAAAAGAAGAAAGGGAGATAGGGAGAAAGAGAGAAGCAGGAAAGGAGGGAAGATGATTTTCGGCTACTAAATTATAAAAGAGTCAAACATTCAATTTAGCATTAAAAAGATCTTATATATTTAAATAAATCTAGTAAGACAAACTTAATGGTTTAAAAAATATGCAATGAGTTGAAACAATCTAAATATTTATAAAAGACTGACCTAAGAAAGGTGATACATAAAGGCTAAAGGTAAGCAGATTGACTGATGGAAGGAGAGAGAGGGAGAATGATCACAGATATATTAGGCCAATTGAACCCAAAACAAAAGAGACAAGCCTTTTCATTTTTAAAGGCAGTGGAATGTGAGATAAAACATATTACTTAGGATTGAGTTGCTAAATTTTTAATGAAGTTCCACAATAAAATTATAATGACTTAATTCTTTTGATGCTAAATAGCACAGCATCACAATTTATAAAGCAAAGGTGGTGACACGGAAATAATAAGCAAAGAAAGACTTAAAAGTTCTTCAAGTGAAATATAAAATACAGGAAAATAAATGCAGATGTAAAAACAGGATAATTGGCCATGCTGAAGTAATGACAAACATATGCATATGTATGCAGTCTCATTTTTTTTCTTATTTATTTATTGTATGAGACAGGGCCTTGCTGTGTTGCCCATGCTGGTCTCGAACTCCTGGGCTCAATTGAACCTCCTCTCTTGACCTCCCAAAGTGTTGAGATTACAGGCGTGAGCTACCACACTTGGCCTAGGTATTCATTCTCAATGATAGGCCTTGATATGGTTTAGCTGTGTCCCCACCCAAATCTCACCTTGAATTGCAGCTCACGTAATTCCCTTGCGTTGTGGGAAGGATCCAGTGGGAGATAATTGAATCATGGGGGCGGTTTCCCCCATACCATTCTCAGGGTAGTAAATAAGTCTCACGAGACCTGATGACTTTATAAGGGTTTCCCTTTTCACTTGGCTCTTATTCTCTCTTTTCTGCCACCATGTAAGATGTGGCTTTTGCCTTCCGTCATGATTGTGAGGCCTCCCCGGCCATGTAGAACTGTGAATCCAGTAAACCTCTTTTTCTTTATAAATTACCTAGTCTCAGGTATGTCTTTATCAGCAGCATGAAAACGGACTAATAGAGGCCATAATATATATTTTTAAAATTTCAACTTTTAGATACAGGGAGCACATGTACAAGTTTGTTACATGGATATATAGGACCCAGGTAATGAGCAAAGTACCCAATAGGTAGTTTTTCAGCCCAGGTGCCCTGCCTCCTTCCACTTCTGTCTATGTGTGCTCAGTGTTTAGCTCCCACTTGTAAGTGAGAACACGCAGTATCTGGTTTGCTGTTCCTGCATTAATTCACTTATGATTATGGTCTCCAGCTCCATACACATTGCTGCAAAGGATATGATTTTGTTCTTTTCATGGTTATACAGTATTTCATGGTGTATCTGTACTACATTTTCTTCATCCAGTCCAACCTTGATGGGCATCTAGGTTGATTCCATGTCTTTGCTATTGCGAATAACATGATGATGAGCATATAAGTGCATGTGTCTTTCTGGAATAATCTATTTTCCTCTGGGTATGTACACAGTAATG